ATTTATTATTTTTTTTTATAATGCTGGTAATGACATGATTTTGTCACATTCAAATGATCATCATATACGTCAAATCCGCTCATATGTAACTATCATATGTAAAATCATTTCAGGAAATTCATTTATATAAATGCAGTTTTTCTTTTTTTTTTAAAAAATAAATAAAAAAGAAAACTACCGTACGATGATTTCTTATTTAATCCCATCTATTATTATTGGATTTCTATCGATAGCATTTTTTACTAAAACCATAATGTTTGCATTATTCACAATATTTTATCCATTCCTTTATTTATTTGACCTATATCAACATCATAAACGTTATAAATTAGCTCAACCATGGCCTGCAAAAGAAAAAGTGGTTTTAATAACCGGTGCATCAAGTGGAATAGGTCAATCATTAGCTTATATATTCGCAAAACAAGGTTCAACATTAATTTTATGCGCTAGAAGAGAAGACCTTTTAAATGATGTAGCTAATGAATGTAGAAATAAATATGGAGCAACTAAAGTAATAACTATTAAATGTGATGTTACAAATGAAAATGAAGTTTCAAATTTAATTAAAATTATTGAAAATTCATTTAATAAATTGGATTGTATAATTTTAAATGCTGGAGTATCTATGGGTGAATCACTTGAAGATATATCTGATTATGATATACTTAAAAAAATAATGAATGTTAATTATTTTGGATCAACTAATGTCACTTATAATTCATTAAATCTTTTAAAAAAGAATAAAGGTAGTAGAATTGTTGTAATTAATTCTTTAAGTGGATTTATACCACTTCCTTTAAGAACTGGTTATTCTGCTTCAAAATTTGCACTTCGAGGATTTTTTGAAAGTTTACAACTTGAAGTTTGGAAGTATGAAATTTTTGTTACTATAGCGTATCCGGTAAAAAAAATAATATTGAAGTAAAATGTTTTTTTTTTTGTCAATACATATGAAATTAATAACATTTTTATGTGCTGTATATTTTCAGGGTCCAGTTTTAACTGAAATAAACAAAAATCGATTAGGTGATAATGCAAAGCAGTTGGATATGACGGGTGCGATGACGTCTGATGAATGTGCAAGTATAATTTATAAAGGTATTTGTAGAGGTGATAAAGAAGTAGTATTTACTACCAAGGGAAAATTTGGAAGGTTGATGGAAGGTGTTTTCCCGGACGCGTGGTCTTATTTGTTAAGAAAATATTCCTTGAAAGCGTTAACAGGGTCTAATGAGTCATAAATGTAAATATTTAGACTAGACCATACAAAATTAAATAGTTATTCTTTCTATAAATATATATTCATGAAACTTTATAATATTTTTTTTCAAGAATTAACAAAAAATTGACTCGATTGAAAGAATTTTCATTGACTTTAAAAAAATAAAGTTTTATTATATTTCTTTTCATAGAGAATAATAAGCAGTTTTTGGAGAAAACTAATATAGAATAATGATATATAATATTTTAAAATCTTTGTTTTTGGTTAAACAAAGTAAAATAAATATAATAAAATATTAACATAAATACATGATAATAACTATAATTTAGATTTAATTTTATCCGATTTGAACAATATTTTACTAATATTTTTTCTTTGAATTTTACCAGTTGCTGTCTTCGGCATCGTATCAATAAAATAAAATTTTTTTGGTACTTTGAACTTTACCATTTTTTCACCACAAAATATTTGTAAATCTTTTTCGGTTACTTTTTTACCCTGTTTAAAAACAACCGCGGCATGAACTTCTTCACCATATATATCATCTGGAACTGCAAAAGAAACTGCCTCTGAAATTATAGGATGTGATAACAAGACAGAATCAATTTCCAATGGAGATATTTTTTCTCCTCCACGGTTAATCAATTCTTTAATTCGTCCTGTTAAAAATAAGTAACCTTCATTATCAAACTTTCCTTGATCACCTGTACGGAACCAACCATCTTTTGTAAATGATGATTCATTTGCTGAAGGATTATTAATATATCCTGGTGTAATATTTGCACCTTTGACACACACTTCTCCTTCTTCTACTGGTTTTCCATTATCATCTAATATGATGACTTGAACTCCTTGACTAATACCCACTGATCCTGGTTTATGTTTTTGAGGTGGTAATGGGTTTGAAGTCATTTGATGTGCTGCTTCAGTCATGGCATAAGCCTCAAGTACTGGTGCTTTGAAAGCTTTTTCTAATTCAAATAGAATATGTGGGGCAAGTGATGATGAACATGAACGAATAAATCTAAGCTTCGGTGTACCTCCATTGGGAGGAGGATGAAGCAAAAGAATTTGATGTATAGTAGGAACTGAATTTTTTTGTCGATAAAATTATATTAACCTTAAAACAATTACGTAGATGTTAAATTTATAATATGCTATTTTTCTCACCAGCTGTATACCAAGTACATCCGTGTTCTAAAAAATCATTCCAAAAAGTATTTGCAGAAAATTTTGGTGGGATCACAACTGTTCCACCTGATAATAATGTGGAGAGCATTCCACCGATTAATCCATGAACGTGAAAAAGTGGCATGACTAATAATGTACAATCATTATGCATCAACTTATACGTATTGCCGATGTTTTTCATGGTTGTAGTAATATTTTTATGAGTAAGTGGAACTCCTAATATATCAATAAAATTTTAACATAATATTATTAATATTTTTTATAAATAAAATGATAGGTAAAATAAATCTACCCTTAGGTCTTCCAGTAGTGCCTGAAGTATGTAATAAGAGAGCAACATCAAACGGATTTGATTGACGTTTTTCATAATTTTCCCGAAATTTGGAATTATTTTGAAAATAAGTCTTTATACTTTTACTAGAATCATCCCAATTCATTTCCAAAATTTCGATATTAAAATAATTTGCAGCTTTTACGGCATCCTTATTTTGTTTAGTCCAACCTTTTGGTAAAATTACTAATTTACTTTTTGAATCTTCCAAGTAAAACTTGAATTCATTCTCAGTATAATTTGGATTTAAAGGAGCAGCAACATTACAAAGTAAAGTAATAGCAAGAAATGAAATAGTGAATTCGAGAGAATTTGGTAATACGATAGATATTACATCTTGAGGTTTCAAATCAAAATTTTCCATTAATTCATGTTGAAAAACTTTAATATGACCATGTAACCCAGGATAAGATAGTATTGGACCACCATTTGGAATAATAATAGAAGGTGACGAGGAATTATGCGAGAAAATTGATGCGAGAGTGTTCATTTTGAAGACCTTAGCAAATACCTTAAACTATTTTTATAAGCCATTCGTGCTACGTACTAATTATTCAAAAATGGAAATTTTATCAATACTACGTAATAATTTATTATTGAATAATGATAACCTTTTTTTGTTACGTATACGTATGCACCACAACCCTTTGTGTCACAAACTTGCGTAGGTTTAATACTCAACATAAACCCTATAATTTTAGGTTAGTTGTGTAATACGTATCTAGTGACGTAATAAGTCTGCACCTTAGCGTTAGTTAAGTTATCGCTATCAGCCGAATTACGCTATATTTCAAAATAGGCAATTTATTTGTTGATGTCATGAATAGAATGATTAATACTGTATAACAAGAATGAAGTCCTGGAAATCTAACTTCAGTTAGACTCGCATAATAAGTTAATAAATGTATCCAAATAACTATTAATCGTTAATACAGATTTTTTTTTCGATCAATTTATTAGACTATCAAGAAAGTAACTAAGAAGGTTCCACGATCGGATGACCCTGTGAAAGTAATTATCCCAAAGTAATCTGATGCTAATCATTTATAGTTAATATAATTTTACTTTGATGTAGATAATCAAGATAATCATTACGCATTGCCTGGGTAACTTATTTATTTTATCATTACTGTACGTATTGTTATTTTGGAGACTTGTTGATTTAATAATTATTAAGCTAAAGAAATTCAGTGAAGATATTTCTTCACATATAAACAACAACAATCACTATTAATTAATTAATTCAAAGAAGCATTTTGGTATTATTTATATGACTTTAAAATCACGAGATTATAATGATAACGTGACCAGTTTATTTAATTAATGTATTTGTTAGCATTGTTTTTGGAATTGCTTAACCCTATTTAATCATATAATGAGCATAATCTTTATGCCAGGCCATTTTTAAATAAGATTGCGAAAGTGTAAAGAGCATACGATAATAATATATATTATAATGGTCTTAGGCCGTTTAAAGTTAATTAGTTGGTAAACACGACCTAAAAAAATTTTGGGTTTTTTATGATTGGCTTGTTTAATTTTTGGGGATGATGTAATCAACTTTAAACGGCCTTATCGTTAAAATCATTTTGTAAACTTTTAAGTGAGGCTAATGTTGAATTAACGACATAAAAGCGAACAATGTAATTTTTTTAAATTGTAGATATTTGTGGCAGTTTCGAAAATAAAATTTATTTCTAATTTGTTTTCAAAATGAAAGTAATGGGAGTTGATTCGGCGTCTGAAATAAATGACGTATTTATTTCATAATAAGTGACTTGCAAAGTATATTTTATTTTAAAGGTATGTTTATTATCAGTTATTTATTTTTCCTACGCTTTTATTTCATTTTCTGATTTTGAAATTTTTTAAACTCCCTCTTGTTTTTGAAATATGTTAATCATGCTATACCACAAGAATCAAAAACATTGATTCCAAAGCATCACTTGGTATCAACTAGTATCATGTGATTATAATGATATAGAATAATCATTTGTTTTCAATCTAACAATTTGGTCATTTTAAAAGCTAAAACCAAAATAATTTTTTTTAGTAATTTCGAATATTAAAATTCATGCAATAAATAGTTTTGCATTATAAAAGCCAATATATAAACTATATGAAACAGCTAATAGAGTAAATCATACGAATAAATTATATATTAACTTTACATATACCGTAAATAATTATACTGTATTATTAATGCTATACATTTAAATATACCAATACAACTATTTTTATATTAAACTGTACTGTAATTAATATTTAAATCGCTATCATTTTATTAATCCTATTCATCGTTCATTTCAAACATTCGATTTACTAAATCTTCCGTATTATAATCCATATTTCCAAGACAATTATAGTTTTCTACAAGATTACTGTTTGTTGCCGTATTAACTTGCGTATATTAATTGATTCGTTAACTATGTCTCTAACGGTAAAACTCCAAGACTTTGGACGATAATAACAATATACGGCGACGCTATATAAGCTGGAGCCTTAATTATTAATCCTTAAATTTTGGACTTTAATATCGTAAAGAAAAATCCTTGTTTTCTAAAATACGTTTTGTCTTAATATTGTTATCTACTAAAAAGAAAACATGATCCGAACTCTTGATAGACTTAAAATTATAGCAAGTTTCTAGATTCAACATTTATTTTAACTAGGAAAATGTATCCATGGGATCCGGAGTGCGCCAACAAATTGCAAGAACGAATGTTGAGTACAAATTAAATTACAAGAGACGTTATTATTAATAAAAACCTTTTTAGTAAAAGTCTCCATTATTTTCTTTTATCTTTTCGTTCTTCAGTAACTTCACATCTCGGCATCTCTCTTTTTTCTATTTGTTTCGACTACTTTCATCTCTTCTCAGAAGCTTTTGTGTCTCATCATGTATTTTCTTATTTTCTGCATTTTTTTTAAATTGCTTTGTGCAAAACAAATATCTAATATTTATTATTATTTGCTATGATTTCTTCTTTTATAATTTAAAGAAAAAGCCTGCCTTTAATATATTTACGCATTAAGTCAATACATCTATGTTTTATTTTGCCAATTATGCCATCGGTTAGTTGCGACTAGTAATGAGTGGTACTATTAGTTTCGCATCGACAATTGCAAAGTGATTAACGATCCAACAATCCTTCTGCCAGCACAGTTAATGCAGATAACTTATTACGGCCTAGTTTACGATTAGAATACCAAACATTGTTTAAAAAAAAAACAAAATGAATTCAGAAGACCCGCAATAACTATTTTTATTATTTTCAGATGTATCAAGGTTGAAGTCAGCTTTAAATCATTAATATGCAGCAATTTTATAAAATCAGTTAGCTAGTCATAGTATAGTACTTTTTTTGAATATTAATTTTTTACGAGTATTAATAAGTTGAATAAAAAATGAATAAAAATCAGATGTTTAGTTTTTTCTTTTTTGATGATTTAGAGAAAAAAATTCTTTAATAATTAAATTTTATTTACTGATAAAAGTTTAAATGTGAGGTAATAATTGTGAGAAATCGGTGATAATACAGTACAAAGATATGAGTAAAAGAAAAAATAAACTTAATAAGGTTAGCCTGAAAGCCCTTTGATTACTGCAGCAAGTTCTAAAGGCTCTTATAACTTGGACCAATCTTTCATAACTTTAACTTCCTTGAACTGAAAAATGTCAATATAAAATTATTTTAGATAAAATTTTATTTATCGAGTAGTTTATTGAAAATTCTAAATTACATCTTTGTTATTATAATCTGTTAACATTATCGTTTTATAAATTTTAATACTTCACTATGTACCAAATTAACTACCTATTATATGCTAGTTATTTACAATCCTATTTGTATTTTGAATTTTTTAAATCTTTCTTTTGTTATTATATCAAAATCATTATAATAAAGATTCAATGAAGTCAGCGTGGTGTTTTTGCAAAGTGCATCTGCTAATGTTTTTCCGACCTCCGATCCAAGTTTATTGTATTCAAGATCCAATGAAGTCAGCGTGGTGTTTTTGCAAAGTGCATCTGCTAATGCTTTTCCGACCTCTGATCCAAGTTGATTAGATTGAAGATTCAATGAAGTTAGCGTGGTGTTTTTGCAAAGTGCATTTGCTAATGCTTTTCCTCCCTCTGATCCAAGTTCATTCCAACTAAGATCCAATGAAGTCAGCGTGGTGTTTTTGCAAAGTGCATCTGCTAATGCTTTTCCGACCTCTGATCCAAGTTTAT